GAAGGAAAGTGGCCTGGAAGGGCCAAGTTTGCCCACCCCTGGTCTAAATGAACCTTTAAGATCTGTGCTCAAACAAAGTGGTCCTCGAGGGTCGCTAATGAATTTTTGGAATTTGCACCTTTGCTGATTGGTTCACTGGCATCCAGTGTGGAGGTTCCACCGCTGGTGTCAGTGTACAAAGCTCAGTTTTCAGTGTCCCTGACATTGGTTTAGGGATGGCTCTGACTCCTGACAGTAGTCTAGTTATGACTTTAGCTCTTGAGCACAGTACAAAGATGGCTCCAGTCCCTGAGCCCGCTCCAGTGCATGAGTCTGATCCAGGACCCACTCTAGTCCATAAATCTGCTCCAGAGCCCGCTCCAGTCTATGAGTCTGGTCCAGAACCCGCTCTAGTCCATGAGTCCGCACCAGAGCATGCTCCAGTCTATGAGTCTGGTCCAGAACCAACTCCAGAGATGGCGGTACCAGCTGCAGAACCTCCTGAGTTGGCAGCATCCGCTCCAGCTCCTACCGAGGTGGCAGCTTCCTCTGCAGATCCTTCAGAGGTGGCAGTGGTGTCCGCTTCAGCTCCTCTTAGGGCATGGGCACCCATTTACGAACTCTCTGTTTGTCCTGTCACGGCCAAGGAGGCCATTCTTGAACTCTCGGTTTGCCCTGTCCTGGCCAAAGAGTCCGTTCCTGAACTCTCTGTTTGTCCTGTCACGGCCAAGGAGGCCATTCTTGAACTCTCGGTTTGTCCTGTTACGGCCAAGGAGGCCATTCTTGAACTCTCTGTTTGCCCTGTCATGGCCTAGAAGGCCGATCATGAACTCTCTGTTTGTCCTGCAATTACCAAGAAGGTTGTTTCTGGACTCTCTGACTGTTCAGTCATGGCCAAGAAGGCCGGACCTGAACTCTCTGTTTGCCCTGTCATGATCAAGGAGGCCGTTTTTGAAGTCTCTGTCTGTCCTTTCACGACCAAGGAGGTCGTCTTTGAACTCTCTGCCTGTCCTGTCACGGTCAAAAGGGCTGCCCCTGAACTCTCTGCTCACCGTGTTACGGCCAAAGATGCTGTTTCTGAACTGTCTGTTTGTCCTGTTACGGCCACTGAGGCCATTGTTAACCTCTCTGTGCTCTTTGTTCCAGTCCTGCCTGATTCACCTTGGTGGTCTCCTGCCTCATCAGCTCCCTGGATGTGGACATCTGCGTGATCTTGGTGGTCTCCTGCACCATCAGGTCCATCATGTACCATCAGAGTACATTGAAAGCCTTGAAAATAACTGTAATAAAATCAATATCTTCTGTATTTTTTCTCAGACAGATGTAGTTGAAACCTTAACATTTTATTTGTGGATTTAACATTAATAGATGGTCTAAAATGTTAAAATTCTAAAAATTTTTTTAGAGCTCCTTATATTTAAGTTTTCATATTCCATTTGAAAAAAATATATTACATATGACACAGTAAATCTTTATATATTCAATTATTTAATTTACAAGTGTCATGTTTGTGAATTTTATTCATGTCAGCTATAGCTTCTGACCTTTAAATCAAAACAGACTAGTTATTTTCGTGATCTTATCACTATCACAGCCTGAGCACATGTGAGCTATCCGTCTTATCAGCAAGGCATATCGGCATATTTAAAAAACATTTTTCAAAAAATTTGTACATTTTAAGCCTTTATCGGCTGATTCTGATAACATTCCGATAATATCATGCATCCCTATGCAATATACATAAAAAATTGTAGTTGTTGATGTCAATGGCACTGACTAAAGATCGACCGATAATCGGTTTTACCAATATTTTCCCCAATATTTAATCATTTGCCCATAATCGGATATCAAATTTGTAACCAATTGTAATGGGTAGCACGTTTTGCCATGCCATCGAGCATATCTTCTGATCACAGCTCTCAATTTTTGTCTGAGTTGTGGGCAGAGGTGCTCGAATCCTTGGAGTGCCACTTCAGACAAATGGCCTTTGTGAATGTTTTCATAGCTCTCTCAAAACTATACTTAGGGCCAGTCTGACAGACGATGTGGAGCGGCTACCTTGGGTCCTGCTGGACCTGCGGACAGCTCCTGAGGAGGATCTTCAAACTTCCTCAGCAGAGTTAGTGTATGATCAGAGAGATTTTATTCCAGAGAGCACAAGGTCATGGGCTTTATCCTCTGACCAGCCTGCCCCTTAGACAGAATAAATGCTTTCAAACCAGTTCCTAACTCTCTGCATGACCGCTTGGATCCCCAAGGACTTCTTACAGCTGAGTTTATGTTCATTCATCATGATGCTCAGCAAAATTCATTGAGTCCCCTGTATGATGGACTGTTTCGTGTTCTGGACGCTGGAGTCAAAACATTTCCAGTGTATATTTGGGGCCGTACTGAATGGTTTACTGTTGATCGACTTAAACCAGCTCATGGGGAGCTGTATCAATCTCAAGCTACCAACAAGTAGGCGAACTTCAGGGAGGAGACTTTGACTGCCAAGGAGGTTCAACAGAGTGCAGGCTCATGATACTGCACATCATGTGACCCGTCAGTGGCAGCCCCTGCCAGCCGGCTGAAGATTGAGAAAACAGATTTATCAGTGTGATTATGAAGAAACTGTAAATCTGGACAGTTTTCAGTCCTGCAGTACAAGTGTAGTAATTAGGATGCAGTATTACTGCAGATTCCTGCTTCTCTGTAACTTGTGTTCTTTGAGTGTTTGTCTGAGACTGACATCTAGTAGACATTTCATCATCAGGGTTTCCCATTCCTATTCCAGGAGAGTCACTTTCCCACAGGGTTTAGTTTGATCTCTAATTAAATGCACCTGAATCAACTAGTCAAGGCCTTTGTGTTTACTTTAATAATAGTCGGGTCTGTGTCACGGAACACACCGTGTAAACAAGGTTCTGTGTCCAAATGCAGGTTTTTATTAACTGCAGGGAAAAACAAAGTAAACACCAAAACAGAAACACAAACATAGCTTAGAATCTGACCACAGGCTCAGAACAGAAAACGGAATCTGACACAATACGGCCACTTAGAGCTTGCATCAGTCACGTATCAACAATTAATAATCCGCCCAGAGAGGCATGGGGAAGGAGTATAAATAGCCATCAGGATGGGCAACAGCTGTGTGTGTGTGAGTAAGTGCACAGGTGTGTGGAGTTAAGGTAAAGGAGTCCGGGAGGATGGGAAATGGCGAGTGGGAAATGAGAGGGAGAAACACCAGACGCCAGACCCTGGCAGTCTGTTGAAACTAAACTCACCAGGAATGAGGATCCTGTTTTACAGACGTCCCTCAAACACAGAACCAGGAATCACATGACTTTCTGTTGTGTAGAGAGAGAGTGTGTGGACGCTGTTACTGGGAGATTGAGTGGAGTGGAGGTGTGTATATATCAGTGTCATATAAGAGCATCAGCAGGAAGGGACGGGGTAAAAAGTGTATGTTTGGATATAATGATCAGTCCTGGAGTTTGCGCTGCTCTAAATCCAGATACTCATTCATACACAATAACACAAAGACTGATCTCTCTGTAGAGTCCATCAGCAGCAGAATAGGAGTGTTTGTGGATCACAGTGCAGGAACTCTGTCCTTCTACAGCGTCTCTGACACAATGAGCCTCATCCACACAGTCCAGACCACATTCACTCAGACGCTCTATCCTGGGTCTTGGGTTTATTATGGATCAGTGAAACTGTGTTGATGAATCAGAATAGACTGACGAGAGAGTGTACCCATAATGCTTTGAGCTGCATGATAAATCAGTAACAGTGAGTCATATTAGTAATAATGATTAATAATTGATATTTTCATTTTTAATAAATTATTTTAAACAATTTTTTTCGATGTGTTATTTCTGTTCTCTGACTGATATAAATAAAGTTTCTACCCACTTGACGAACAAAGGTGATGGGTTTTATTCCTCCTCTGTGCAGATCTCCAGAAGATAAATCAAGCACCTCGTTATAGTTTCTTCTCTCATCCTAAAATCAATTGACATAAAAATCACAAAAGGAATTAATGTTTCCCCGTATAACCATAAAATCAGACTACTGCTTAAAAATAAGTTTCAGAATAAGAGGCAGTTCAGTTAATCGGTGATTCTCGGCTGGTTTTACTTCAGGATCCAGATTTTTAATTGGTTATCTAATTCCAATATGATACAAGTAAAAAAAAATTATTAAATTAAACATAAATTAATATAAAATTAAAGTAAATTAAATGAAAAGGCAACAGGTTTTCCACAAATAAGGGCATGCCACCAATCTATCCATGCTGCCTAGAGTTGGATGAATTTGCACCCAAATACTCTATTAATTCTATAAAAGAATAAAAGATGAGAGACTATTATCAAAGTAATACCACACCTGTTGTATTTCAGCTGTGATCTGTGCCGCGCGCCTCGATAAAACATCAATTCCAGAGAGAAAACTGTTCTTCACCAACGGGCTGATCTCTTTCAGGAAGGACATTGTTGTTTAACAGTGTTAGGATCTTGAATTGTGAGTATTTTCTGTGTTGTCTAATTCACTTGGTTAGTCAACTTTCCTGGTCTGATGGACCAATTGAATTCAAGATCTTCACAGTTAGCTGAATGTTCAAAACCAGTCCTTATCACGTGTTTAGTTATTAAACCTGAATCTTTGGTCCTATATGGAAATTTTGCTTATAGGAGCAAAGTCCCAAGAGTGGGTCGTGCTCCTTGAGACATTAACAAAGATATTTTGGGATAAATGGATGACTATTCCCTGCTCAACTTCTCACCACAGGAGAGGAATGAAAATCATCTACAGAATTAACATCCCATTTGGAGTCATGTCTCAAACAAGCATTTTTGCTTATTCATCCAGTTGTGCATTTGTGATTTGTTGTGTTCTTTCACACCAGACTCATCCAGCCATGTCTTTCTGGACCTTGCTTTGTGCACTGAGGCACAGTCATGCTGGAATAGAAGAGAACCTTCCTCAAACTGATCCCATAAAGCTAGAGCAAAGCATTGTCCAAAATATCTTGGTATGCTGAGTTTCACTGGTTCGCTCTTCTTGCTTTTTCCTAAAACAGAAAGAGAATAATCATCAGCACACAGAGTGTTCAGCACAGTGAGCAGGTGCAGGTGTGAGTGAATCACCTGCTGAACGCTGCTGTGATTGGGAGGATTGGGTCGATCTGTGCTGCAGATTTCACAGCCGGGTCTCGTAGACGTATTTATGAATGTACAGGAAGGACAGGACCAGCCTGACTAAAGAGAGAGATGAAAATACTCTATTCATTACATAATCCAACACTCTGCTTTTGTTATGTACATTAAACTGGTAGACAGATCTATATGAGGGGATACACATTTATACAAACATACGCTGTAATGGTGTTTTTATGCAATCTTTTCCATTTGTGATCTCTTTTTTTTTTTCAAAGGTTTCATAATATTTAAAGCTGTCTGTGGGAGTGTGTGGTTCATGATTATGTGGATGCAGGCCAATTATTTACAATCCGTCTGCACTTGCTAGTTTCCAGAAATGGGAAATGTGAATGTATGTAATTATTACCTGTGTGTTACTTGATTTCAGTTTGGATCCAAGTTGCAACATCTCGAGGTTAATGATGTCACTGACGCTCTGATTATCTGGGCCACACCCACCGCTGCCTATTGACCAATCAGAGACACACACTGAAGCGAGCAGTGATAATGACAGTGAAAACAGCAAGAACTGGAACATTCATACACTACCGTTCAGAAGTTTGAGACCGTATAATTGATACTTTTATTAATCAAGGACACATTAAAGTGATCAAAAATGACAGTAAAGTCATTTAAAATGGTACAAAAGATTTCTATTTCTATTTCCCGGCCGATTCACTTCCAAGCCCTCAGCTGACAGAAGCAGTCTCCTTCACCTCTGCTCAAAAGAGGAGAATGCGGAGGAAGAGACTGTGGGCTCCAGCCCCTGAGTCCGCTCCAGAAAGGGCTCCAGTTCCCACGTCAAGCACAGAGAAGGACTCTGTTCCCAAATGAAGCCCAGAGAGGGCTTCTGCTCTTATGCCCACCCCAGAGAGGGCTCCAGTCCCCACGTCCAGGGCCTCAGAACCCAAAATGTCCCCCAAGGAATACTTTTGGGGGAGGCTATAGGGCTCTGGCTGTAGAGGCCGGGCCAAGGGCCGAGGCCAAGGCCATGGAGGCCGCTCCACCATGGCCCCCTCCGAACTGTCTGCTTTGCCACGGCCCCCCCATGAACTGTCTGCTCCGCCACGGCAAGTTTATGACTATGCCTAATAAAAACATTGTAGTGGTTTCTTAATTGTAAGAATACACTTCTAACTGATATATGGGTAACATACATATGAAAGTAAACAGCACTGAAATGGACAATCCATCCAAAAATGAAAATTCACTGTTTATTTACTCACCCTCAGGCCATCAAAGATGTAGGTGACTTTTTCTTCAGTTGAACAGTAAAGAAGGTTTTTAGCTAAACCCGTTTTTAGCTCTTTGGTGATTCATAAAATGCAAGTCAAAGGCACTTTGAGAGTCAAAAAAGCAAATCAGGCAACACAAAATCAATACCTGTGACTTCTGACAATATATTGAGGTCTTATGAAGCGAAACGACTGGCCTGTGCAAGAAACTGAACATTCTGGTGACATTGCCACAGTTCTTCTGGATTTAGTGTATATTTGTATGAAACATAGGTTTGTTAAAACTAGGGTATTTAAGTCATTTTAAGATAAATAACATTCTGTGCTAACAAATTGAAGAAATGAGGTGGTTGTTTTCAACAAGGTGGACACAGTTCTGTTCATAACAGTAGACCTGCTGGTGAAGTTATTGGGGAAAATGAAGAAAAGGGAAGTGAAATGGTGCAGTTCAAGAGAGAACTTTTAATTATTCTCCATGGCCCCAGACTAAGGATTTAGACCTTTTTATGTGATGGCCATACAAATAATAGGATTGTCTGTGGTTTCAGAAATGGTTGTGGATTTATAGGCTATATACAAAAAAAGTGCCCAAAATCGCACCTTTTGGGGTACAACAGCTTGTCACTGGAACAGTACCCTTAAAAGGAAATCTTTGTTCCTTTTTTACCCCTAATAGATAGGCTAATACCTTAACAGTCCTTTTAAGAGTACTGTTCCAGTGACAAGCTGTTGTACCCCAAAAGGTACAATGTTGGCCCCTTTTTTTCTGTGTGGCCTGGATGAGTGTAAGATTTTCCGGCCTGAAATTGCGCCCCAGTCTGGCCCTGACTGAAAGGTTCGAATCCCCAATATGAGCCAGATGCTGAATGTACCTGAATGTAAGTGATGATGGCAGTGAAGCAGTTGCTCAAAACACACTTCCAATTTCCAACAGACAATAACACGCTTTATTTTGTTACTTTAGAATGGTTATTAAAATATCAGAACAGTTGTATACTATTGGATCAGTTTAGATATATATTTTGAGTTGCTGATTGGTGAAACATTCAAACATTCATGCATTCCATTCATGGTTTTCACAGGGAATCAATGGGAGATGCGGTTAAGACGGGTTAATGTTTGGTTTATTTGAATGGCTACTGTGGTAAGACTAACTGACTGTAATTGACAAATTGACATTTTCCAGCATGATTTAGAGTGTTGTGTACAGATGCAAGAGAAAGTATGTAGTATGTAAGTATTCCTATAATGTGGTCTGATATTGTCCACAGTCATACACAAACACAATCTGACTGAATTTATAACTTCTCAAATTGTTACTGAAGATATTGAGTAATCATTCACAGTAGAGACTGGAGAAAGTAATTGAACCCTTGAAATTAGTATCCAGTAGATCAGAGTTGCTCAATCCTGTTCCTGAAAATCTGCCTTCCATCAAAGTTTAGCTCCAACCCCAATCAAATACACCGGATTTTCATGAATACTTGATAATTACAAAGAGGAATTAGCAGATCCTGTAGTAGATCCTCTTTTAGCAGCAACAACCTCCACTACGTTGTTTTGTAGCTTATAAAACTTGCACAACATATATTTCGGACCTTTCCTCACTATAGATCTTTTTCAGTTAAGTATATCGGTCGTGCCACAACATCCCGATTGGAGCAACATAAGGTTTTTGGCTTCACCATTACATAACTACGGTGACCAGGAGGGGACGTCTTCAGTTCACTTAGTTTTGTCGTGGCCACAACATAATAACTCGTGGGAACGTGGGTCAACACTGTAAATATTGACTCATTATATATTTTTTTGCAAATAAAAGCCTTTAAAACTTATATGCTTATCATTGGTTTTCAGTATACCATAGAAACATGTGGAAAAATAATCTACAAATACTGAAGCAGCAAACTTTGGAAAACACAAAATGTATGTCCCTGCCAAAACTTTTGGCCACGACTGTACTTCATTTGGTGATTTAATAAAAGTGCAACCGTCAAACCCACTGGCCCGCTCCCATTATTAGTTCAATTTGAATTCAGAGTCATTTTAATATGGAGAATTATATGGGCACTGGTGGTGGTGCTAAAGAGTTTGTCCTAGAGACCCTTAAAGTTGGTTAAATTACGGTTCAGGACCACCATTACAAGTCTGCCAAATTTCATAATTTTCCTGTGTATCGTTCATAGGGCTGCACCTGACTCCCGTTGGGGAAGAAGAAAAAAAATATATATTAATGAGACCTACTTGTTGTTTTTAACAGAACATAAAAAATATTCCTCTGTAATGTTTCCAAACAAAATATATTCATTTTACATGAATAAATTTTCACTTTCAGATGAAAAAGATGATCAACATCCTGAATCTGCAATGCTTCATCAATAGGTGGCAGCAGAGTAAAATAAGGACTTCTCCTTTTTCAAATGTAGACTACTGGATCTTTGAACTTTTTCTCTACAATCCTTCTGGGCTGTAGATGAGATATAATTTATTTGTTACATCAGTTACATCTTTTTATAGTGTATTTGTGTGTGCATATTCAAATTTACAAAATAAATAAATATAAATAAATAAAATCTGTCTTAAAAATGTGCATGAAATACAGGAAAGAATCTAAATGTATGTTTTTTTGTTTTGTTTTTTAATCACTATAATTTCATATGTAAATTCACAGTTCACTTCCAAAGGGTGTAACAATTTAGTTTGAATGGTTATGCATCTTATTTTTATAGAAATCTTGGCTTGATGGATGGATGGATGTGTGTTCATATTCTTAATCATTTTGCAAACTGGACAGCCCTGAGCTAGAGCTTTAGAAAGATTTGCGTTTTATTGCCAGAGAGCTACATTACTTGAGATAAACTCACCTCATCAGCCAGTATGAACAGTCTTTCTTCTGCAGCGAAGCAGATCACTTCTTCTATGGATTTCCTACTCTGTATGTGACCTAACATTCAAAGCAACATTCATTCATTCACGTCTCTGTCTTCTCCAATAAAAAGCTCTGCGAATGGATCCGCAAGTCTCACGTCTCGTCAGCCCCGTAACAGTATGTGACCTAACATTCAAAGCAACATTCATTCATTCATACATAAATCCAAGAAGCTACTTTCTTTGTTTTCAATATTAGACACCAAATGCATTTTATTTTTATAGGTGCACTTCAAAACACTCAAGGGAGGGGCAGCTGAGTTCTGGACCAACTGAGGTTTGTGAAGAAGTTTATGAGGTACACTAAAGAGAAGAGCATTACAATAATCAATATATGAAGTGATCAAAGCATGTGCAAGAATGCCACTACTAGTAGATGTAAGATATTGAGACAACTGATATTCCCTAGATGGAATTATATAAAGACAGTGTGATATTATTACTGTGTGCTTCAAAGGATAGCCTACTATAAGGATGACACCCAAATTCTTGTCCTGAAAAGATGAAGAAACAATGGAGTTGTCAATAGTCAATTAAAAAACTGTCAGATTTTGTCAAATTGGATTTAGTACCAATCTCTTTTTTTATCACCATTTAATTTAAAAAAGAAATTACAGGAGAACCATGATTTTACTTAATCTAAACAGTCCAAAAGGGAAGACATGGGAGAATGTAATTAGGCTTAGAGGACAAGTATATCTGGATGTCCTTTCCATAGTAAAGGAAATTAATTCTAAATTTCATTAAAAAAAAATATATATATATATATATAACCACATAGTAGAAGGTAAACAATAAATAAAAAAGGGCCCAGGTTGAGCCCTGAGGAACACCACTGTTAACAGCGGAGGAATATTACCTACAAAAAATTACTGAACAAAATGAGTGCGATCAGTGAGGATCTAAACCAGGTAAGAGGGGTAACCAGAGATTTCAGTAGAAGCTAATATCTCTATGAGGCTTTTATTAGAAATAGTACCAAAGACCACACTTAAATAAAGTAGAATGAGTTTAGTTAAGAGTCCAGAGTCAGCCGCCCTCAATAGATCATTAGTAAATTTAACCATTGCACATCAGTGCATTAAAATGAATGAAAACCAGATTGAAATAGTTAAAACTGATTATTATTCAAAAGGTCAGTATGTACCTGAGCTTCAGCAGTCTTCTCTAATAGTTTGAAATGGTAAGTTAGAAATTGGTTGAAAATTAGCAGAGCTATTAGGGTTAGAACCAGGTATCTTTAAACTTGGAATTATTACAGCACTCTTAAGAGATGTGTAACGGAAGAGGTCTGACGCAACAGGTTAGTATATATCACAATAGGTTTATTCGGTCACAGAGAGTATTGGGGTAGGGTTCAGAGGATGTGATGGTGAGGGAATCGTTCGAAGGATATGATGAGCGGGGTAATCCGGGTCTTTGGCTT